ATCCTTTCGTCTCGTATGCCAATTCGAAATGTGATCCTTCCGTTCGCCCGACGCGCGATACGCTAATCGGCTTCCCGCCGCAGAATCGGTGAGTCCGATTAAAATTCAAGTGGCATTCGATGATTATCTTTCCTTTCGTTTGATGTCGTCGAATTAGATTCGAGTGCGGAAATAAGCGATTACAGTAATTACTTCATAATTTATTTGCTTATTCGTGCTGTAGGTACAAATTAATAACAGAAATGTGAAACTATTTTAATGAAAATAGCATCAACATATTTTAATAACATAACAGTTTTGTATATCGCTTGAAAATCGAAATAAGTCACGAATTTTTTGCATTGAATTTAAGTTAAATTATGGATTTTCAGATAAAAATCACAAAATTCAATGTCAGTTTATTAAAATAGTTCGTGTTGCGAAATGGAATTGTCATCAGAATATTAGAATTGTGAAGATAAAGCAACGCGTATTTTGGAAACTTCGGAGCAAAAGAATCTATTGGATTTCTGTTTAGTATCACACAAAAAATATCTTTTTAATAAACGACTTACAATTATGTATAAAAACAATCGTATGTTATTTGACATAAATGTCACTTAGCTCCATCACGTAACCACCAATTTAATTCATGGTGTAAAAGTATTATTCTATCTATTGGCGAATTCGTTATTTTCGAGATGAAACAAGATTTTATGAACGATTATTTGATTACCCAAAGCGACGGCGAATCGAATCGTTCCGCGTCGCCGTGAATGGAACTCTAAATTTTGCATAGGCACTCAAAAGCTTCGTTCGAGTCTTCCACATATCCAATTCATGTAGCCAGCTTTCGTGTTCTCATGATGAAAACGCCGTTAACACACTTTCCACCGTGTCACATCTGGGCCATTGATTAATAATTCGCTGTTGAATATTGCGAGACTCGTTCTCATTTCAAAGTACTTATCTGTTACTAATCTAATCTTCAATATATCTATACGTTGCTCGTGGATTTGATATTTTCGTTCTTCTCGTAATGAAGTCCAAAATGGCGCATTTATGATTCTGAGAATTAACTAGATCTTAAAAAATTTATTAACCTTTTAAACATATCATTCGCATAGACTACATAAAATTACTACGTTCTCTTCATAGAAAAAACTTTAAATGGTTTTGAATTATTGAATTATAGCTTTAACTTTGATACACTTGAAAATATATTATGCAATTTCATTAAGATGAATAGTTTATCTCTATAGAATACGTTATTCTCCAACATATTTTTATAAATGAAAGAGAACTCGGGATCTTTTTAATCTACAAAAATTGTACGGTCGAAAATTCCGAAGACTCCAGACATTGCAAAAGCCGAAGTTATTTTTAACCTCCCGTCATTGGATAATAGCTTCAACGGTCGATAAGATCTAAGCTAAGGCGTTGTGTATTTATGACGCATCGTCTCGATCGACGATCGCATTAAAATAACTGCTCGTTCGTGCTTGTATAAAAATTCACCGGCGATCAAGAATAAAAACGATACCATTCAAAAATAGCACGACTTGCAATTGATCGTATGGAACAATATATTAGCTCTGTCATTTAGTTTCTTACATATCAGCTTATCCACAAGGAATCATCTAACAGTTTAGCAGTCGACATGCCACAGCTATTTTGAGTTAAGTCGATATTGTTTCATTTTATATAGCAATTTATAAATTCATAAATTGGGTCTTGCGAAAGGACGTAACGCTTTTGAAATACTATATATTTATGCTACTGCGTGTATTGATTTCGGTGTTGAACAATTCCTGACAGTTGAGAGTTTGGTGCTACGTAAAAACATATTCAATATGGAGTAGTCTCTAATCGTTATCCAAAACAATTTCACGGGACCTGACATCTCCATTCACTGCATTTAAATCTTTGTGATTTTTATTTATAAGGATATTTAAAGGATCGCATATTAGAATGATCCGCGCACAATTCAGGATTTGAAAACCAACACTCAAACGCGTAGAAGAAGAAATTCTCCTACCGCAACTCTCGGAAAAGTGAGCTGCTAACGAGTTTCATTCTTATTGAATATATTTTTACATAACATCAAACTCAGCTGTCAGAAATGATTTAATATCAAAATCTCTCATTCATTTATGTAATTAAGTAGCATAAATATAATACTTTCAAAAGTATTGCGTCTTTTTATGAAAATCCTGTAATAATAATTTGTATGAAACTGCTATAACATGTACAAAAGAAAGATAAGCGCAGTGAAATGTTTTATATTAGAAAATCATGCTATACGTTATATGATTCATCAAAATGATAAAATTCTTGAACGCTATAGGACTTGATTTTTCGAAGTACACCATTTGATCTGTTTATAATCCAGTTCGTAATTTTTTAAAGTACTTCCATTATTGCTTAGAAGGAAGCTAAACATTTTAGATTTAAAAATTTATACGATCGATGTCTTATCGATTTCTCAGCAGTCTCAAAATTTTTATTTTTGAGAAAGACGTTACAGACATTCATATTTTTGGCCCATTCAACACTCACATCTACGTTGCTACTCAAATTTAGAATCTCGATTCTTTTTCGGCATCATTGAAGTGCAAATCGAATCAAAGACGACATTTCAGAGTCTTCAGACTCTCTCCCTCTCCCTCTCTCTCTCTCTCTCTCTCTTGGCCCTCTTCCTTTTCCTCGATTTTTGTTGACAGGATCAGGATCGGTAATCCACACATTGCGCGAGGACGCAATGCCCGCACGTAGGTGGATCGCGATGAATTCGTGGAAACGTCGTGATCGCACCTCTCGCCGTGACGATCGACGCACCGGTTCGGCGCGGTGCGTCATAAATGACCGATGACAGGTTCCCCGAAGCCATTTCGTCTCGCATACGAAATCGCCGCCGGTCGGCGGTACATCAATAAAAAGTGTGTCCGGCCACGAATAAATGCGCGCGTCAGTACACCATCGGAATTGTCCCCACGGAAATACGTGATCGGCGATCGGCGGTCATGTATCCTTTGGCTTTCGGCGGTCGAGCGGCGACGCGTTCCGTAGGCTTCCGTGAAATACCGTCAAGGTCCTTGAAAAATGTGATTTCCCGTTTGCTTTGAGTATTGCTGTCTCAATAAAAGCGGTATGCGCATTCTATTTCTGCTTTACTTCTATTACTCGCAAATCTTTGCGTTGATCTGTCGAGAAGTGCGTTAAACAGCTTCTCTGAGATATCATGAGTATTATCCACTCGTATCGTCCATCACATCACATTGGCTACATAATATTGCTCGCGCACCTATACAGTAGCGTAAATATAGTAATTTAAAAGTGTTGCGTCCTTTTGCGAAGATCCTTTTTATGAGTTTATAAATTAAAATACATTAAAACACACTAGAAATTTGGAGAATTCAGAACATACTCTGATATATCATGGGTATTATCCACTCGTATCGTCCATCACATCACATTGGCCACATGATATTGCTCACGCCTATACACATGCAAGATGAGATCGGGCCACGAGAGCGCGATAATTTATGCACGCTACCGTGTATCTCGATCCTTTGCGGTCGATCGTGGCGACTGCGATCGTGACCGAAGACACGCCACCGGAATTCGTAAACGCTCGGACCCTCCGATTTCTCTTGTTTCGCGATTGGATTCATAGATCATTTTGCGTCCCTCTTTCGAGACCACCGATTTAGAGACAATATCTATTTTTGCCTTTCACGTTTAATGATTTAACGTTTAATTATCGTATAATCTTATTACGTCCTAATAATCTCTTCCTGAAATATCTAAAATTGTGCTGTAATAAAGATATATATTGCCACAGGCACAGGATGAACTTATTATGCACTAGCAATCAGATCAAGCCGGAGAGATTACAAATCAGAGTAGGATTGAAGAAGCTATTCGTTGATCGGTTTTCATTCGTTTCAAATTGTTATACTGTCGAAAGATTTAACTCTTCGAAAAAAAGGTAAAAAGAGCGCCAAGCATAAGCGTTATCCGACTTAACAATTATACGATTTAATTATTTGAAAATGTATTTCAGTCATTCTCCGGCTTTTGTAGACGGCGTACATATTTTATCTTTGTGCCTGTTAATTTTATAATCATGACCCACCTCCTTTGGATTTTTATCATTTGACTGCATATTACATTGGCCTGGTTATTTTTAAGAATGTGCTGGAGAGGACCTAAACCCTTGGTCAAAACGTCGCACTGTATTTTGTTATTTTATTTTTTATTAAAGACGTGCCAGTCAAGATCGACTAAACTTATTTATTGTTATTTATTACTGGCAACCTAAAGGGATTATTATGTTTGAAAATGTATTGTTACAAAAAGAACATTTCTACTTTCTCTACTGAAGTAATAGTATCAAATTGTTAATACTGTTGAAAGATATAATATGTATGATCATGTCATAGTAGGTACACAAAGGTACGAGTTGCAAAGAATTTGCATACGCTCTAGGAAACACAATAAGATTGTTCCATAGCATTTTGTGCAATTTATGTAGGTACAGGCGCTTGACACAGTTGCTTTGCTAACTCGTGGCAAGTTATACTTTATCAACGTGCGCAACTTCCATATAAAACACGTACGCCAAAAAAACATATACACATACATATATGTTTCATTCATATATTTTTTATTTACTTCAGAAAGTTGCAAGGGTATAATGTACTTTTAATAATATCTGTAATAACATAATTTTGTTTAACTTCGTTCCTATAAATTAAATTATGCATTTAAAATTTAGTCAGTTATTTTGAACAAGACTGTACGTGTTATAACATAAAAAACTAAACTTATCTTTTCACTTAAAGAAAATCACGTACAAGTCAATCCTGACACTGCGATAATTTGTAGATTGCGATTTTTTTCCGCGTGCTATTACATCTTCAAAGAAATCAATGTGGTTTAGGGAGATTTCTTTTAAAACTTTTGACTTTTGTGACCACACGGTGTTTCTTATAAAGAATGTGGGACGTCAAACTCACCGTGCCGGGATTTAGAAAGATCGTGAGCTGGCGAAGCCGGCGAACCGACGCTGCCGTCCTCGTCCTCGCTGTCGGTGAAGCTACTCGGCGCACGCTGATTCGCGACACGACGGCAACTGTCCAGTGGATAGTACCCCTGCGGATGACTGGACGGCGGTGCGGAGGGCTGCGACAGTCGGCTCTGATGCAGTTCCGGGTGGGCCGCGTAGCCAGCAGACGGATGCTGCGGCGGTAGCATCGGGACGCCAGATGCACCGCTGCCACCGTACATTCGCATCGGTAGCCAAGCGCTGTACAATCCAAGCGGCACGCCGAAACCTGCATAGGTAATTTTAAATCGACGGATTTAGATAAACGGCAGGTTTAGGTAAATAGGCAATTAATAGATGTTGGAGTTGCATATGTATGTACATGTAAGGTTGTATGTAACCTGTATATCTATTATAATAGATTGTTGTCTAACTTTGCATATCTATTATAATGGATGTGCAAAGTTAGACAAAAAGTGAACAACCTAGATTTTGGCAGAATGCATTTAATATAATGCACATCACGTCGTTAATTCAATCCTAAAATACACATCTAGATATTGATTTGACCGATTAATTATTTTAATTTGCAATTATTATTACGCAGTCAATATTTGAAATTGATTTATTATAGTTCAACTTATATTGAATAATGTTAAAGGAATATGTTTTTGAATATGATACCTGTAAATTGTTAGATAATTAAACATACACACATATATTCCATGCTTTTCATTTTTTTAAATAATGAAGGCATTTTATTTCAAAGAAGACGAAAATATAAAATCCGATTATTCGATATTCAATGCGGTAGCTATTAAATATTTTCCTATTGACTTCGTGGATCTTATTAATAATAAATCCGTCTACTAGTGATAAACAAATCACAAAATAAATCGTATTTTATTCACACAGTCTTTATATAATGTTTTTGTTTTAATTCCTAGCATTTATTTTCGAGTCTAATCCATTTTTCTAAGTGCACGTATTGTCAAAATTAATTAATTTCCATCGTTGCTACATTACAATTTTTATTTTGTTATATAAATTCTAATTTTACTCGCGCACATGATTATCTTTCTTTACGGCATAAATCAATTTTCTTTTGCTGCGACGCAATTTGGAAACACATGTCAATGGAACGAAACTATAAATTAAGGTATAAAAACTTGAAGCTAACTATATTATACTGCACCATACTACATAAACTGAATATAAGACACATAAGAAAAAACGGTAGGCTCCGAAGGTTTCAATTATGTACATATCCGTGTTCGCAAATTATAGTTCGCGAAACGTCGGCAGCACCTGGTCTTTTCACGTTTTGGAGCATCGCTTAGACACTGCGGCGCCTTTGACTCGATATAATGTTTCATAGCAATCGTCTACAAGCAATGTAATGTCTTGCAGCAATCCTGTACCTGAGTAATTATAAACAAGTAAACTACATTGGGGATTTTGCGCGCGATTAAAATCAACTTCTACTGATTTTCTCAAAGCCCGTAACTATTATATGTCCAATGTTATGGCAAAACAAATATGATTTTTAACATATTTATTATTTCGTTTAATTCGTATGTACATGCGACACTTTAAATATAATTATCCACACTTTTTGTGTACATTATGTAAAATATAGCAAGTGTCATAACGTTGGTTACCAATGACAAGCCGGATTATTGCGTACCACAATTCTGCCGACGGAAGATGATATTCGCGAACTTAATGTGAAAGAGGGCACGCGCACACGCGTAGAGAACAAGACGATATAAGATTACATATATGATAATCTTAGCATCATTTAATATTGTATATAATAATCATCTATCTTTAATAATTGCATATTAAACGAGGAATGTTCTTTTTATTAATTGAGAGTCTCTAAAGTAGCTATCGCACTGATATGAGCAGATTAATTCAATACTTGAAAAATTTATTTGACAATTTATAATCAATTGGTCGGAAATATGCATATGGAAGATTGACAAAAATGAGACTGTTTAAAAACTAACTTCATGAACCAATTAGAACTTTAATTTTATGAAAGGACTTCAAGATTTACTACGAAAATTTGTTTAAACGAAAAGTCGCTTTCTTATTTCTTATAAATTATTTCTGACACTATATTTATAATAATATATTTAATGTACTTTTTTTATCCACTTCATTTATCATAGAAGAGTAGAGAAAACGCTGAATGAACGTCAAATACTAGAAATACTGCAGACGTGTGGATGTAACGTTCTTTCCTCGCTAATGTTATCGATTCATTTTTACGTATTTGTAGCTATCGTATTTTAAGCCGCAGTCGCGACGCTACTCACATCCGCATCTTTTTCGTCTGAGGAGGTTTTATAAAATAATTTAACATGCTGTATAATTTTCTTGAACCAGCCCTTTATAGTAATAATAACTAGAATGCTTCACATACATATAACTCAAATATCAATTTCTCAATTTAAAAATTTTGCGTTTATATAGAAATTTCGAATTATACACATACACACACACACACACACACACACACACACACACACACACACAACAGCGCTGCTTCTGTCTTTAGTCCCGATATTTATAGCGAGAAAACATTTTGCCACTCTAAATTAATTGAATATATGTACATTACTTCTGCCATCGAAAATGTTTCGAAGGGAATAAAACATTAAATAAAAGCAATCACCGCCACACTGTTTTAACAATTAATTAAATGTTTTCGTAATTAATTAATCTTTTAATTTTCGAATCCTAGTGTTGCCGGCTTAATTGTACTCTCTAAAAGTGGATTATAGCGAATGGATAGCGAACTTTCTGTTAAATTAATAGGCATCAGTTGATTCCACCATGAAATTATTGTCCTTCATCGAAGGAACGAAATCTGTTTAGTGGAAAATTCACTGTTCAATTGTCATCATCATCATGTCCTGTCGCTCTTTCCAGAGCATAGGGTCTCAACGAAGCAGCGCCATCGAACTCTATCGTTCGATTGTGTAATTGTTGCGAAAAAAGATTTGTGATTGAATGTAGGTGTTGAAAACCTGCTATTAGAAACTTGTAATAGAGGACGTTCCTCTACTTATAACTGTTTTTCGGTGACGATGCACTGATCGACGTTCAGAGAGTACCGAGCAGAAGAAAACGTACTCACCCGAGGGTAGCGTGGTGGCCGCCGCGGTCGCCAAGTAGTGCCTCTGATAGAGCTGGTATTCCCGGTCCCGGTGTTCCTCCTCCTCGCCGTTCGTCCGGTCGTCCCGCGTAATACCGCCGCCGCCGGTGTCGTGGTCCTCGCGCGCGCTACCGATCAGGCTCTCGATCGTGAAGGGCCGCGGTGTCGGGCGTCGCGCGAGCTTCGGTTCCGCGACCGACGACTCCAGCTCGTCGCTCGCCGAGCCGACGTCGAGCTCGGTCTCCTCCACGCTCACGTCCATGACTCCCCGGGGCTCGATGGACCAAAATCGAGCGGGAACCGGATCTCTCAATCCGATACTACGTGCGGAGCATAATCTTTCCTCTCCGCGCACAACAGTTGCCGTTTCTCGCGCGGTTCGAAGCGTCGCGAGATTAAAAGGATTACGTCCTGCTCTTGTCTTCTACTGACTTTCGTATTGCGGGAGTTCTTCAGGAAAGTGAATTGCGGATTTAACTGTTGTCGTCCACGGATAAGAGTAACGAATGTCGGAGTGGCCTTATTCAAATTATCAGCCTTACTTTAAGGCTGGGGCAATCGGTGTTAAGGCGTCTTATGCTTGTCAACGATTGTTTTATAACACTTTGCTTTATTTTCTTCGTGAAGTATTGTGCTTTACATTGCAACAGTTGTGGCACATTTTATAATGAGCTTTAAATAATCGTCTTCTTTTCTTTTATTCGACTTTCTTTTACGCGATATTGAAATATAATATGTAAAAATTATTGGTAATCTGTTATCACATCTATTAAATTTTAGTCTTTTAATTCGGTGCGGCAGTCAACGGGTTTAATTCTTTTACATTTCATTAACGTTACTTCTCGTGGTAGGAGTCACTATAATTATGTGCTTGTGCATTTGACGTATAAATCAATGTACTTTGGCACTGATCACAATTTCTTTTCAACCGTCGAACAAGTCTCAGAAAGCTTATCAGCTTACATTATTACACTTCATTATCAACGTTGAACCTCCTCTTGATTTGCAGAAATATTATAACACGGGCTTACGAAACTTATGATATCTAGTCTAGGAATATAAAATTTGTGTCGTGTGGAAAATCGTATTTGATTATTTGAAATGTGTTCGGCTCTTCCATGTATTGTCGCGGCGTTAAATAAGAGTGATTGATGTCACATAAATAGTTAAATACGTCTGGGGCAATAATGTAACATGAAACTCCATCGGGAATTTGTCAAAGTCTCCCGCTGAACGTTACATCATCATTAATTACAACTGTGAAGATCAATACAGATTATTGTTAATTATGCAGAGAATCCAGCAGGTCCCGATCATCAACGGTCTCACGGATTTTTGCCGAACGAACATAAATTATTGTAATCACACTCGAATTTCTATAGAATTGTTTACGTCCACCTTCGCGGAAATGGTTTCTCTTCTTCTTCAATCCGGCAATTTCAACTATTTCTGCACTACGTTGACGGCAACCGCCGGACTATACACTGCACGCTTTAGAGTCGAAAGGCGACCGTATGACGCACGGGTCGACGGGCGACTGCCGAGGGTATAGGGCAAGGTATTTTAATTCGTGATTCCTCGGCATGCGCCGTGCTCCGACGTGGTGGATGGCGTGGCATCGTCGTGCCGACTTTCGTCCGACCCTGATTGGTCGCATTCGGACCAACAGCGTCGTCCGGCCGCGCCTATCGTCCGCAGATCCACCATCTTGGTGCCCAGGCTCTAATCCGTACCACTTGCATTCGGATGCTTCGAGATTGGAAACGGCGGACAGTTCAGAACGATCGCGGTATAAGGTCCATTTTTAAATATCACCCTGCTTAGACAGCGCGTGATGGTGCAATTGACTAAACGAGACTTCTGAAAGCTGGATGACGAGAAACCGTCACGAATGGCTTTCGGGAGTAAAAGTGGATATTGCAATATTATATTCCCATATCAAAGTGTCAGGAATGTCAAATGTGTCTCTCTGGAATAAGAAAAGACATCATTTAAAATACCATTAACAAAGATTAAGGAATTAAAGAAATCCTGTCTTACGTTTTCTACACAGACGTAAAACAGGATTTCTTTAATTTAATCCTGTTTTATATCTGATGTATAAAATGTTCCATAATTTCTGTTAAGATCATCCTTGACACTTTAAACATGGGAACATAATATTGCAACACCCATTTTATTTTCTGCTGGGACTCCCCTTTAATTTTATATAGAGGGAACAATATACTCCAGGAAGAAGTCCAAATATAAAAAGTTCACGACAATAACTGGCCAAGTATATTTCAATTAAAGTATGTACGACGTTTCGGCCAGTAATTCGGCAGTGTCAAATTAACTTTCCACAATACAAGACACGTTGACATGCTCGTTAAACGTCTTACTGCCTGCGGCAACTACGACTCTTGACCACGTTCTTCTTTTGTAAATTTGTTAACCATTTCTGGCTACCACTAGTAATGGGCCGTACTTGATAAGGACCAGTATTACTGGCCGAAACGTCGTACATACTTTAATTGAAATATACTTGGCCAGTTATTGTCGTGAACTTTTTATATTTGGAGTTTTTTATTCACTGGCGATCCACCTTACTGATTGTTCCAGGAAGAAGCTTCCACTTCCTTCCCAGAGACGAGGCGATCGAATAAAAACCGATAATTTCTGGTCGGATTTGAACTCGGATCTTCGGCTCATTAGAGTAGCGCACAACTCTCTGCGCCACGATCGCCACGTAAAGTGTTCACAATAATATAGAATATATTGTGAATAAGAGAAAAGTATCCAGCATGTCATTCCGGACAAAAACATTATTCACAATTGAAAGGAAATATGGCAAAGGCAACTTTTGACAGAGGAGCATTTTCTTACAGCTTATTCACTGAAAGTAAAACTATAATTGTATACAAATGCACAGGAATTTATAATAAAAAATTACATAAATTGCGAATCTACACTTTCTATACTTTAGGTAACAATTAATTTAACTTTATGTGACACATTAATAAAAATTGTTTTTCTCTTAGATCAATAAATCGTTTCCCATCAATGCAACTCATAGGAGATAATAATAATGATAATTATATAAATACTTTGCGATATTGTTGTTGCGTGAACAAAGTAAAATTCGACAAATCTCGCACATCGAGATTACGACGGGGAACTGACGGGTAATTTTTAAAGGCCTAAAAAGTTTTGACAGGTAATTGACCAATTACGCTGTTTCTGAAACGTGAGGCGATCAACGTTAACGAGCTTGCTTTCTTCCGCGGTCTATTTTGTATCCTCAACGTGTTCCCCATTAAGTTATCCTTCACGCCACCCCCGCAGGGTGCCTCCTAACGAGCACACTTATCAAGACTGTTGTCTTACTTGATTCATCCGTGAGGATATTGACACGCAACTTATCCTTATGGCATGTTGCTTGTCGTTTGTCTCGTCGCCTGACGGTCGTGTTCCTTTGGCTGTATAATTATTGATCTTCTCTGTTGCGCGCCTTAAGCCTACAATGTGCTCTTTGTTTCTAGAAACAATCTATTTTGTAGCCAATAAATACGTTTAAATAATGTGTGCAAGTTGATAAATTGTACATTATACGTTGTACAATCGTACCTTGTCGACGAATTTTTTAAAGCGTTTCGATTTGCTTAAATAAAACCGAATGTTTCTAGACGCAAAGAGCACATTGTAGTTTAGGCGTTAACATAACAGAGAAGAAATATCTCAGGTGTTTTATATGCCGTATTCTCCCGAATTTATTATTCCAGCAAAAATCAGCTGTTCTTTCAATCGGAAAAAATTGTTATCCAGCGAAGAATTTAGATAATTTTCAACACGTTGACATTGCTAAAAAAATAATTAAATTTTGTTCATTTTACAATATCAATGTTAAGTGGCTATTAAGCACAACTGTGCTTTCATTGACTACGTTATCTTGATACGAAGATGACGAAGATAAATTGTTGCATCTGGGAAAATTTATAGTTACTGAATTACATAAATTATTATGCGGCAACGTCATTAGAAACGTCACACGTTATTTCACGCGTCTCTCGTGCGCGTCGAATTTTAGAATGGATTACGCCCACGCATCGTTTACATTGCGGATAGCTCCGAGCCGACTAATCGATGCATCACTATAGTAACGATACTATTTCGATACTCGTTAGCGTCCCGTCACTTTAATTGGATCCTAAAGTTACCCAATATACATCGCTCCTTAGGAACACTATTCCAATGCCCTAATCTACAATATATTTACACCTTTAGTTGTGTCGACTTAATCTCATTGATTGCATGCATAATCCGTCTTATTTGTCATTGTTATATCAATTAGCGCGGTGTCACTCTAATCAGTAATTAATGTAATCTAATTTAACGTAAGATTCAATTGCGAATTACTTTTACTCTAATATCTATACATTTAATGCGTCGTGCTTTCGTTATTGTTATTATTAATATTGGCATCTTGCAAATTCTCTAATTATCCAAGGTGTACAAAGATATTGTAATTCTACAACAGTTTCGTTTAAATTAATAATCTAATAATATTGATAGTTAGTGCTCTTCTATGAATTTGAATACAACGGATGTAGTTTTACGAGCTGTCGTCGGAGAGGTTTACTGCGAACGCTTGCGCTCATTTGCGCGACAGAAAGGCGGAAATGAGTATCGGCGGGGCTGGAAGAATCAAGCACAAAGTGGCACTTAACGCCTTGTAAAATTAGAGAAGTGGCACAAAGGCCCGGGAAGAAAGGTAGAGATATCCTCTCTCCGACGACGAAAAGTGTTGAAACGCGATTCGTTCCGGTAGCCGAACTCCTCTGTCAAGTCGAGAGCAAAGTCCCCCGTTTAAAATAGCAAAATTTGAATCTGATTCTTCCGAGAATTGATCACAGCATTAAATAGGTACAAACTAATACCACGACCGGGATTTCTGATGAGAATTCCGAGAACGGAGTTGGATGTAATTAACGGTATTCCGTTTTTACAATAACGCAATATCGGACGGCGAGTTGAAGCAGCTTGGTTCTAGACGCACTTTGTCCGATATACGTCGTACCCGGGGAAGGACCAAAGACTATAAATTCCGGCTGTGTACCAAGGAGTGGCAATCGGCCAGACGAGTTTCACCCTACAAGTAGTCACTGACAAATTGGGGCAGGCCATGTCGAAAATGCGAGGCACGCGCCAGGTCGGCGCTGCCGAATGCAAAGAATAACTTTATTCAATCTTGTAATGAACAATAATGATTGAATAAACGTTACA